TATTGTAATATGTTTGTACTATAGATTAAAAAGAAAAAATTTATTTTAGATTTAGCAAGTTATAAAGAAAATTTATTAAAAAAAAAGGTTTTGTAATAATAAAACGTGTTTATTAATTAAGAAATTATAATTCAGCTTAAAAAGGGCTTTTGGTAGAGTAAAAATTTAGTTTGTGTAACATTGAGCAAAAAGTCAAATTTGGGTAGTACAAAATCACGTATCACACAAGTCACGTGTCAAGTCACGTGTTAGGCCGGTACTGTGTTACACAAATTGGGCAAATTTGTAAAACAAAGGTACTGTAGTTTGTGCAAATTAATAAGTTACAAAAATAGTAAATATTTGTTTTGTGCAATTTGGATTAATAATTTGTATATAATTGATTTGTAATTTGATTGTTTGAAAAGAACTACTAATTTTAGAGTATTAAAAAATGTGGGTGACATGATTTTGGGCTGGGGTAGGTTGTATGAAAAACGCCTATAGGGTTTTTTGCAAAAAAAAAAAAAAGAAAAAAGAAGAGAGAGAGTTGTAGAAGTAATTTAATTGTATCTTTGTCAATTTTGATGCTACAGATATGAGCTATAGCTTGTTATGATAGGAAAAATGATCTTTTGAACTTTTTCTATGCTTGGAAAATAGGTTATATTGTGCCTCAGACTAACGCTTGTGTTAGATTACATCTGAGGCACCTCAGATGTAGATCGTCAGGTGAGGTGCGTAACCTATCGATTGGTTATCTGAGGTGCCTCAGATGTAATCTGACGTATGATAATTGTAATAGCGATAGATATGTAATAAATTAAAGAATCAAAGAGAAGCGAAAAGTAAAAAATAAACTGCCTTTTTACTTTGGGAGTTTTTTTTTTGGTTCCTTGAATCTCTTTGGAGTTTCTTATCTCTGCTATAATTCTTTATCTTGAATCTCTTCGGCACTTCATCTCTAGTAGCATTTCTGAATCTCTTTACTATCTTAGCTCTTGTGCATTTTGAATCTCTTCAGCACTTCATCTTTAATAGCATTCCTAAACCTCAGCACCTTCTCATCTTTAGCAGCACTCCAGAGTTTCTTTGGCACCTGAATCTTTTTAGCATTTGTAGCATTCTTTTTCTCAGTGCCTTTTCCACTTTGAACCTTTGTAGTATTTTATTACTCCCAATAATTTTTTTTTTCATTGTCTCTAATTTTTTACTACTCTCAATAATTTTTTTTTCCGTCGTCTCTAATTTTTTGCCTGAATTTTTGCATTATTTCTGGCCACCTTATTTGTCTTCAATAGATTCTATTTTTTTTACGTATTAATATAGCACTCTATTTGCCTTCAATAGTATTAATTTTTTTTTTACGTGAGTCATCGTAGCACCTTCTTTCTAGTACTTTTTTTCTTATCTGGAGCTTTGTGATACATCCCTCCTGAAATTTTTTTAATATAAAATAGAATATAAATTTATTAGCAAAAATACTCTCGATCAAATCCTTGAAAACTATGTAGCTAATCTTTCTGAATCCAAATATGATAAGGCTCTAATAAATCTTGAACTTTATAATAAAATAAAAGCAATCCTACTAAACCCCAAAGATAATTCTCTTTATGACAAAAACATCTGTGATTGGGCTAAAAAAGGTTTAGGCTTGAAGAGATTTCATCTAATGACTATAGGGTCATTGTAAAGTCTACAAATAACCCAGTTTTAATTACTGAGAGGTTCTATAAAGTCTTATGTTATACTTACAGCGAAATCACACAGCATGGCGGACAAAAACAAACGTGGATATCTATACGGGATAAATGGAGATGAATTAAACAAAGTATTATTGAACAGTTTGTAAATAATTGTGCAATATGTGCAGTTAAAAAACTGTCATTTCACCCTCTAGCTACAAAACCCATAATCACAAAAAATTTTTTATCGAGAGTTCAGGTAACTTCTCTCTCTTTTTTTTTTTTTAAAAAAAAAAATCAACTTCTTAATTCTTTTTTTTTTAGATGGATTTAATCGATCTTAGTTTTGACCTGAACAATGAATATAAGTATGTGTGTCATATTAGAAATCACTTTACCAGGTTTTCCTGGGCGAGAGCATTAATCTCAAAAAGAGTGATCGAAGTTGCATCTTTTCTGTTTGATCTGTTTTATTCAATCGGGTCATCACCAATCATATTGCAGTCAGACAACGGCAAGAAATTTGTTTCACAAATAATTAAAGAACTTATAGTTCTATGGCCTTCTGTTAAAGTTATCAATGGTAGACCCGCCACCCTCAGTCTCAAGAGTTGGTCGAACGCGCAAATGGAGTTCTGGAACAAAAATTAAGAAAATGAAAAGAATCTACTGGTCAAAATAACTGGTCTTTTGGTTTAAGGTTCGTCATCATGGCTATGAACAATTCGTGGTGTCGAGCACATAAAAGGACACCTTATAAACTTGTGTATAGAGATAAATCTTGAGGCAACAACACATTAGTTAGTGAACTATATAATAATAATATTTGCAATAAGGAAGAGATTCCTGACACTATTGATATTCAAACTGATAATATAATGAACTTAGATGATGATATGGATGGTATTTTATTATTATTTTTATTATTTATTTTTAATTTATTTATTTTATATATTTATTTAATATATTATATATTAGATCAAGATTTAGAATCAAAACCAGAATCATTACTACAAGGACCATCGCCACAAGAACTATCATTGCAAGAATCATCATCATCATTACAAGAACTATCGTCTAGAGAACAATCGCCTTGGGAACGATCTTCTCAAGAACTATTATTTAAAGAACTATTGTCTTGGGAACCATCGCTTTAGGAACCATTGCCTCAGGGACTATCATCTCAGGGGCCATTATCTCAGGAGCCATCATCTCGAGAACTATTATTTCAGGAGTTACCGCCTCAAGAACCAATGTTTCGGGAACCATCTTCTCAAGAACCAATATCTTGAGAACCATTGTCTCAAGAACTGCCATCTCAACGTAATTATATAAGTTTATTAGTAGTTATGTTGTACAGTAAGTGGAAATAAAAATTTAAGTTAATTTTGAATTTTTAAGGTTAGGTTGGGATTTTTAGTATAATTATTTCATTCTATTCTAAGTTGATTCCAAACATATAATTTTATTTTCATAATGATTATAATATGAAGCTTTTAAAATAATAGCTAATATCTATTTATACTAACTAACAATTTAGGTGCCACATCTGAATTCTGCTCTTGCTGATATTACAAACCAAAGTTATAATTCGCCACATGAAATTTTGCGAGATTCTGCTCACCGTAAACTTTAACTATATACTGACAAAATGACCAACCAAATGTTAAAAAAACGAAAATTAATTGATTTTAAATTTGGTGATTTTGTTCGAGTAGATATTCCAAAGATTGATTATTTTGCAATTGACTGCCCTAGCCTTCCTTGTAAAATTTTAGAAAAAACAGCAAATCAACAATACAAACTAGAAAGCAAATATGGTATACTTAATGTATATTATTCGTCTGGTCAAATTGAAGCACTAGGTACTGCTACTTGTTCTGAACTCAATGTGATACCATCTGAACAAATATCTCTTCAGGAGGTATCAAGACTGCAAAGTGTTAGATTGTTGTCAAGTTCAATTTGTAACTGCAAGGGCTCGTGTAATACTAAAAGGTGTAACTGTAAAAGGTAAATAGAAAGTGTTCAAGCAGATGCTATAGTGGCCATTCTTGTTTAAACAAAGATTAGTAAAAAATGTATAAAGTAAAAAATGTATAAAGTAAAAAATGTATAAAGTAAAAAAAAAAAGCTTTTAATTTGCAGATGCTAGTAAATAAATGTTTAATCGCTTTACATATTAATAAAATAGCTTTAATTTGCTATTAAATAAATAAATAAATATTTAGTCGTTTTATTTGATACGTATTATATATTAGCGTTTAGCACTATATACAGTACCCGGTGTGACACAGTTTTTACATTAAAAATCACATACATAATTTAATTGTTTACACCACTTGGTACATACTGTATAAATAATATTTTAAAAAATTGATTGTCACACCAGGTACTATATACAGTGCTAAACGGTAATTATTAATTGATTAGTTATGCATTATATTACATCTGAGGCACCTCAGATGACCGATCGATAGATTACGCACCTTACTTGACAATCTATATCTGAGGTGCCTCAGATATAATCTGACACAAGCATTAGTCTGAGGCACAACAGTTATGAAGGTAGTTTTGCCATAAATTACAATTTTGTAATTTGAAGGCCAGAAGGCCTTTTTTTTGACAGTTTTAAGCATTAGCAGTTTGGAACTTTAATGTTATATGTATTTTTATGAGTAGAATTTATTTATTTAAGAACAAAAGTAAGGTTTACTTAATAAAAATAAAAGTTATTTAATTATTTTGCAATTTTTTGTTGAAAAAATTTTTGTACGAGTAATAGACAGAGAGAAAGAGTTAAGTCTCATAAATTCATATCTCTAACCAATTATATATTGTATGTCTTGGAAGTTAAATAAGTCAAGTTTGTATTAAAATAAATTATATCTCACTAGAGATAAGCAAATATTTTTTTGAATCCACTATGGCCCACATTATAGTTTATTACTAATTAGGGCTTTGCAAGTAGGCACGCCGGGCATATTGGCACCAGGCCAGGCACTAGTACCTTATGTCATGCCCATGTCTAAGTCACAAAAGTGCCAGACATTACTGTGGGCATAAGCACAAATGCCAGATATTTTATGAGTATAAGTACAAAAGTAGCAATACTATTATAGTACAGCACTATATGCTAAGCAAAAAGGTGCCAAAAAGGTGCCAAACACAAGTGCTAGGCAAAGTGCTAAAGGGGCATCCATATATAACATTATGTACCTCTATATAGTAGCTCTTGACCCCCCTAGACATATAAAAAATTTTTAAAAATCCATATGTTTATATATAAAATTTTACAAAAACTTTGGATATATTATGACCTAGTAACCCAATCAGGATGATTTTGGTACTATTCGATTCATCTCTGTGAGATGAATCCAATGGTACCAAAATCATTTCATTTAGACCACTGGATAACGTTTTATTAATGAAATACTATTGATTTTATAGTAATTTTATAAGAAAACATAATAACCAATAGTATTTTGTTAATAAAATATGATCCAGTGTCCAAATTAAATGAAATTGGTACCATTCGACTCCGCTCCTCGCGAGGATTTGAATGGTACCAAAATCATCCAATTTGAACCACTAGATCAAATTTTAGACAAATTTTTATAAAATAATTGTATTATATTTTGGGGGACCCCTCTAAATATTGGAAAATTGTTATATTTTGGGGGACCCCCTACCCCCCAAACATAATATTATTTATAGATGCCCCCTAAGCACAATTAATTAATAAATATTAAATTTTTGTGACCATTCCCATGCCTATACCAAGTTTTTGCATTTGTGCCTATGTCTATGCAAAATTTTTGTGCCTATGTCCATGCCTATAGCAAATTCTTATACCCATGCCTATGCCTATATCTAATCTTCATGCCCATGCCCATGTCTGTAACTTTGTTGGGCATGGGCACAAGCCCGGTTTGTAGACTCCTACTACTAATGCAGACCAAAAGTGTGAAATTCTGAAATATTCTAAAATTCCAATTCCTACATACTTGAAATTTTAGATTTTTTGTGAAAATTTTATATCTAAAAATTTTACAGGTCCCTGGAATGAATCAAGAGGACCATTAGCTCTTAATCTTTGTGCCTAGTATTAGTACCCGGGACTAGTGCCCGGCCTAGTGCCAATATGCCAGGCATGAATGACCATATCCGTGTACCCATACCTATACCTTTGCCAAATTTTTGTGCCCATGCCAAAGTTTTGTGTCCATGCCCATGCCTATAGCAAATTTTTATGCCTGTGCCTATGCCCATACCTAATCTTTATACCCATGTCCATACTTATAACTTCTATTGGGCATGAGCACGAGCTCGGTTTGCAGACCCCTACTTTTAATATATATCATAAAATCCAGTTATAATTATTCTAAGTCTTATACTTTATTAGCACTTGAGCAATAATTCTTGTTTTAAAGTTGTTATCAACACCAACGAATAAACTAAGTATCATCTCATACTAGTTAGTTTTTGCTGTATTGTCATAAATTACAACATCATGAAACCTCATCCATAAATTATTGTGCTGTTGACTATTCATCCAAAAAAGACTAGTTAATTTATTAGATAGTCTCTCAAGATGTGGTATAACTAAATAATCTGGATCTTTATTACGTTGGCTTAAGAGATATGAAAGCATTGTGCCTATATAAGATTTATCATGTATTCGTATACCTCGAAACTTATGAATTGCATTATATAAGTTTTTTTTTTTAAGATAATATTGGAGAAACTCTTTAGTAAAGAGATTATACTGCTAACTAGCACCCAAATGACTATCTGTAGTATAATACTTAATTTAAGAGTAAAGGATATATAGATCATTTATCATATGATTTTTGTAGTACAATGTGATTTTTATTTAAAATAAAATATGCTACTAATAAAACTTTTTACTGTTTTAATTAATTTTTGTAAAATTTTTATATTATATAGATTAA